TGAAGAGCCTGTGTGTCTGTAGTGTGATTGTGGGTCTGTATGTGAAGAGCCTGTGTGTCATTTTGCTCTGTACTGAGTGCGGTCGGCTCATTGACTGTCTCACCCCAAAGGACAGGTGTCTTTATCATCCTCAACTGCTTTAGTGCTGTACCACCGCCCAGCCTCTGTGGGGGGGGGGTGGTGGTGGGGGAAGTGATGTTCAGTCTCCTGAGCAGAGCCTGCTCCTCTGGGAGTGCACATACATGCACACTCCCCTGCGGATCTCCATGCATTGGTACAGCCCTGTGCCTTAAAGGTACACCGCACTCATTGCTCTCTGTCACTGACCTGCGTCCTGTGGGACAATTACTACTGAGCAGCAACTAGTCCATTCTAGGTTTTACCTCCTGCAGAAACGAATAAACTGCTTGGACTAGCAAACTGCACTGATGAAGCAGAAAATATACGGGATGCTTATAAAGTGTTTAAAACGCCACATGGTGGATCACTGCGATTGAGATCAAATTCAGATGGGACCATGGGACTCTCATGGACACAGTGCAACATCACCAGTGTCCACCAGAGGGCACATTCGGGGTCTAAAATCACCAGCAAGCCATAATGTCTGTGTTCTGAACATGCCAACTAACTTCCTAAGCAGCCTGTATGCAGCTGTAGGGGCAAGTTTGAATGATTTATTCAACACAGTGAAACCTAAAGTGCATTAAACTGCAATGCAGCGGGCTCCCGTTTTACAGTGTCGACGGTCAGACCCCCATCTCAGACTCAGACAGGCTTTGTGTTGCCAGTAATGGGTTTAATTAGTTTATAAGGGACTCAGGTGGAATGACAGCCAGGAGTGTTCTGGCTCTCCAGGACTGGAGATGGCCCCCTGCTATAAAACCTGCAGCTGTACAGTCCCATTGTTATACAGGAGGAGTCTAACTGACAAGCTGAACCCCTATTTCTGCTTGACTTTGTGTAGTTGTGGGCATATAATAAGTGTTTTAAGTTACCCTAGTAATTATAAAAGGCAGGGCAGAGTACAGAGAGGAAACTTCAAGAATTCTTCAAGACAAGGCAGAGGAGGTATTTTACTGGATTTCTAGGGAACATTGTCATGTGATTCTGAGTCCCAGCCTGGACCAGGAGATGGAGTGGACACAGTGAGGCCCCGAGCTGGGAATGGGGAGAGTGGGGTGTGGAAGGGAGAGTGGTGCTGTGGGCTTGCTCCGTTCTCCACCATCGTCAGGGGTCGCAGCTGTTCGCTCGTATCCTCTCCCTTTTTCTCCTCCTGTCGTTCTTCCATCTTCCACTCCCTCCCAGCCCCTTTCCTCTTGCTTTGTCCCTTCCAGTATTTCTCCCACTGCTCCCTCTCCCTCGCTTTCCTTTCCCACTGTCGCCCTCCGTCCCTCCCTCTGCACCCAGTCTGTCTTCAGGATGGGTGAGACTGACCTCTGACCCCCTTGTCAGTGAGGCCATGCCCTTTGACCCTGGGCGTCTGTGCATTGGAGCAGCTGGTGGCTGGCGCTGGGGCAGAGAGTTCAGGATCTCGGGTGGAATCGTGAAGGAGAGAGAGGGGGTAGGAGTGCGTGAGTGTGCTAGTACATGCGTGGGGCCCGGCGCGTGGTGCCGAGGCATGGCTGAGTCGTGGCGAAGTCCGGCTGAGTCACGGCTGAGCGGGCGATAACCAAGGCAACGAGAGCAACAACACCCGCTCGGCGCCACGGCAACAGCAGCTGCCCCATCGCCACAGCAACAACTAAAACATCGCCACGGCAACAGCAGCAGGACCCCCCCCCCCCCCCCCACCACCACCACCGTCACGCTACCAAGGAAAACAAACGTCTCGCAAGGCCAACCCCCAAACTGCGACCCCACTCTTCCCGTATCCCTCATTCTCTTTCATCTTCTCTTTTATGATGTTAATCAGTTCCTGGATCAAGGATGACTGCGCTGCTCGCACGCTGAACACGCTCTGCGTTTGGCTTCCCTCTCTCTCTCTCACACACGCACACACGCGCTCCGTCTGCCTCCCCCCTCCCTCCCCGTTCTCTCTCTTTTTCTCTCGCTCTCAAGCCCTTCCTCCCCTCCCTGTGGTTCTCTTCATTCTTCCCCTGCTTCCATTTCTTCGTCTGCCGTCGCCCGCACATTCCCTCTCTCTCTCTCTCTCTCCTCCTCTCCTCCTCTCTCCTCGGTTCATTCTCTCCTCCCCCTCTCTTCCTCTCTTTTCTCCTATTTCCCCCTCCCCCCAGCAGCACTGACCCTTCCATTCTCCCCGGCTCGGACCTGTCTCCCCCCCCTCTTCCCTTTTCCCCTGTCCCTCCTTCCTTCCTTCCTTCTTTCCTTCCCTCCCTCCATCCCTCTCTCTCGCAGCCTCCCTTCATTCCCTCTCCGTCTCTGTCATACACACAAACAGAGCAGCACGCGCTCTCCCCCTCTCCTCTCTCACGCTCTGTCATACATACTAACGCTGAACCCCAGCCCCCTCTCTCTCCCTTTACCCCCCCACACACCTACCCCAGCACCTCCTCTGCACTTCCTCTCTCTCCTACTTCCACGTACCCCCCCACCCCCCCAGTCCTCTCCCTCTC